AGTTTGCTCTCTGATCTGTCATTCAGAGGATTTCCCTATCCACTGGCTGCTTTGCCTGAGTCCTGCCTCCAACATTCTAAACATTTTGCTGTCCCTCTCCCCCCCATAGCCAGTCAGAACACAGAGGTCGTTTGCATATGCAACTTGATTGGCTTTTGCCTCTAACATTCTAAACAGTTTTGCTGTTCTGAGGTAAAATGTGTCCAATCTCCAGGTGAGGGCTGAAGATCACTCAGAATTACAACTGCTTTCCAGATGGCAGAGATCAGTTCCCCTGGAGAAAATGGTGGGCTCTGTACGCTTATATGCTGCTGAGGTGGCCCCCATATGACAGCCAATGTGACGTAGCAGTCAGGGCTTCAAAGCACGGGAGAGGCTGCAGGTGTGTGTGGGGGTGGAAAGCTGAAGAGTGAGGGGAAATAAAGGTAGATTGATGATTGGCTGGGAAGGGGGTAGGGTGCCAACTCCAGGTGGGAAATTCCTGGAGATGTGAGGGATGGAGCCTGGAGAGGGTGAGGTTTCAGGAGGCGTGGGACCTCGGACAGGTACAAAGCCATAGACTCCACCCTCCAAACCAACCATTCCCTTCTGGGAATGGACCTTTTTCCTAGTTTAACATAAACCTGATTGGGGGAGGGAGTGGCCGTGCCATAGCCCTGGTCTAATCAGATCTCAGAAGTTAAGCAGGGTCAGTACTTGGAAGGGAGAGCACCAAGGAAGACTCTACAGAAGAAGGCCAACCACCTCTGCTTCTCACTTGCCTTGAAAACCCCTTGCTGGTGTCACTACCATAAGTCTGGCTTGACTTGATGACACTTTACACACAAACACATACACAAGCATAGAAAATAACAAGAGACATGGCTTGAGAATCTGTTGTAAGCTTAATCACACAATATATAGTTGTATGAATTTTGATACCTATATCAGTTGTTTTCTTCAAAAATCTGTATCTGTCTCTTCCAACCTAGCTAACTTATCTAGTTAATAGCTGTACTACTCACTAATCAACTCCAAAAGAGGTAATATACTTTTCTTAATAAAACTAGTATTAAAACTAACACAAAAACAAAAAAGAAAAAAAACCACAAGAAAAAACAAAAAACTACCCCACCCCCAATATATATATAATAAAATATATAAATCCCTACACAGAACATCACTTAACTATGCCAATAAGAGAGGCCACTTTTTCACCTCCTCCTTATTTACCAATCACTGCTTAATATTCAATTTTACATTCACATTTCACAAATCTTATTATTCATTCAGCATTATATTACTATTTAGCAGCAACAGCTATAAATCACTCCTTCCTGTTTCTGATGAAGAGGTATGTCGGCGTTGTCTTTTTTTCCGATTCTCCCACCTTCCCGACTCTTTAACAACCTTTATAGCCTGTATCAGTCTTAAGTCTGATTCTTCATCGTGTGCTGAGTACGTCGTTCCTTGAAAATTTACTATCAGTCTGCCTGATGCAGCCCACTTATATCTTTGATCCATAGAGCGTAGTGTAGCTGTTGTCTCTTTAAGGCTTCTCCTGCTTTGCACAGCTTCTGCTGGAATATCAGGGAACACCAGAATTTTGCTGTTTTGCAAATTTAAAGTTATTCTCTTCTTTGCCAAGGATAATCCCCCCCCGCATGCTTATATAGGCCCCAGTCACACGGACCGAATAACGTGGGGAGAGGCGTGGCTAATTGCTCCGGTGCAATTAGAGCCGCCAGAACGCGATCCAACGCTTCGGCGGCAAACCACGGGTCCTGTCCTCCCCACCTGTGCATTAACGAGGGGCCAGCGCAATCACACCGCAGGAGTCCGGAGGCAGCCCTTGGCAAACCTTTTGCCACTACATACGAGGTACTGGTTTTTTATTGCTCTTTTCCGGCGGTATGCCACGGGTTGGCCACAGGTGCGCTCCACTTGCCAGATGTTGCGGTGTGATTGTGCCCCGATAATTTGCCCACCACCCGTGGCTCTCCCACAGCAAATTCACTGTGTGACTGGGACCTTAGTTGGACTATTACATCTCGTGGTTCTTTCTGCTGCTGCTTGCCCACCCGGTAGGCATGTTCGACGAGTTCAGTAGTGTTTGTTTTTGCTTCTCTTTCCAGCAAAGTTGTTAACCAGTCTGACAGAGTCTGAGGAAGGTCATCAGGGAGGCATAGATCCTCTGCAACCCCCCGTAGTTTCAATCTCTTTTCTCGCAGATGTGTCTCTAGTTGTATAATCTTGTCTTGTTTGGAAATTTCTTCTTTTTGTTTTAAGGACTTGAGGGAAGCACATGAGGGCTTTTTTAAAAGCTTTTATTAATATAACAAGGGAATTACATCTTGAATGTAATACGGTCAAAGAATGATTACACACACAATACGTAACCAATACTGAGGAATATACGACAAACTCTATGTTTATACCTTAGCTTGTAGTGCTACTTCTAATGTGAATTAGTCCATTTGTGTTGAGATATACAGCTAGATGGTATGGTAAGCGCTGTGATTGTCATATATTTTGAGTTTAGTGCCATTGGATATGAAAAAGGTAAAATAAGAGTTGTACTTAAGAGATTAGTAGTAGTTAAGTCAAGATTAGAGGAGAAGTAGTTGGCGTTATGATTGATTTAGAGGATCAATGTCTTGATCAAGAACCTGTGTAATGAATGGAAACCATTTCTCTGTGAAGTGTGTTTTCCTTGGATATATGTTTGATTGTAATAGTCTGTCTGTAATTTTCTCCATTATTAAGTGGTCCCAGATCTTTGAGTACCAGTCTGATGAGGAGGGTAGTGATTGCAATTTCCAGTGTCTTGCTGATGCCGTCTGTGCCGTAGTTAGTAAGCTATGTATCAGTTCCCATCGGATCTTTGGTACTGAAGGATCGTCTTCATGGTGCAAAAGAGTTTTGAGGAGATCATTAATGGTTGAAGTCTTGCTAATCCAGAAGAGGATGTTCTTTGAAAATTGAGCAGCATAGCTAAGGTGGCTAGCCCCCAGGAGGAGCTTATAGATCTCCCAGAATTACAACCGATCTCCACACTACTGAGATCACCTTCCCTGCTTCGGAGGGCGGACTGTATGCCAGTATACCCTGCCAACATCCCTCTGCTGACCAAACCCCACCCTTTCCCGGTTCCACTCCCAAATACACAGGAATTTCCAAACTCGGGATGCCAGCCTTCAGGTGGGAACTAGGGACCCCGCCAGAATTACAGCTCAACTCCAGAGGTCAGTTCTCCTGGAGAAAATGGATGATTTTGAAGTTAGACTGTATGACATTGTACCTCCTTAAGATCCGTGTCCGCCCCAGGCTTTACCCTGAAATCTCCAGGTGACTGGGGAGGGGAACCTGGCAATGCTATTCTCAGCCTGGAGTTGGCAACCCTCAATAGCAGAAATGTCTAGTGTCCTGGCCCCACTGCTGGACCTCCTGAGGGCACCTGGTATTTCCGGCCACTGCATGACAGAGTGTTGGACTGGATGGGCCATTGGCCCGATCCAACATTGGCTTCTCTTATGTTCTTATGTTCATAAGTATAAACTCGGGGAAAGAAACAAAGGGAGGAAAGAAGGTAGGTTCTGAGAGTGACCAGGGCAATACGGAGCTATTCAGCTGCTTCCATCTCCATGATTTATTTCTTTTTTTGTGCAGGTATAGCACAGACATAGATTAAAGGTGAAGCCTTTCTACTCTGCATAATGAACTCAACACATTGTTCTCTCAGTAACAATCTTTTCTTGAGGATGGCATCCAGAAGAAACACTTTAGACCAATTAGCAATAGAAAATGTATGCAGCATGTGAAGAAATGCATTTTTTTTTTTGGTTTGGAGGTTAGAAATGAGCAAAACCTTCACTCTGAGTTTTAAACTTTTTCTCTCTCTCTTTCTCTCTGAGTAGAGAACAGGGAGGAAGGAAAGAAGTCAGTTCAATTGCTTTCCAGAAACACCTCAGCCTACCTCCATACAAATGCTAATATGTCTAGCTAGAAATAATTGGATGGGCTAGTTCCCTCCCCACCCCCCCAGCAGGGAACAGAGACTTGGAGTAATTAAGACTGAAAAGACTTCAGGAAGAAAATTCTGGAGATGTCAGGAGAAGCTTCCTTGACCTGGCCTGACTGGGTCCGTGGGAGGGGAACGGGAGAAGATAAGACCCATGGGAGTAAGGAGAAAGGGCTCTTTTTGGTGCTGAGTCCATCAGAGCAGACAGAACTCTTAACTGAGGTCTGGAGGAGGTAACCATTAACCAAGTGCTGGCCTGGAGAGCTGGAGGAAGCTTAAAAGTAAAGGAAAACTCTGTAGAGATCTGAAACTTCCTAAGCTAAGGAGCCTATCCTATAGTTTAACATCTGATGGGGAATGTATAGAGAGAGGGACAGAGAAATTGCATTTTACCCTTTTCTTTTGAATCCCTTGCTCAGTCTGGTGCTATGCTAAAAGTATGCTTGTGAACATTTTCTTTTTAATAAATATTGTATAACCTTTGGTGCTGATAGTGGTTCTCTGTACCACATAAATCTCCACCATCTTGGACATGGTATTTTAAAAGGAGGGCCAGGGGGAAGGCTGATGGTTGGCAAGTGGCTATTCCTCAAGGGGCTCACAAAGCAGTAAACGGTCCCCATGGTGACTAGGCATTGGGCAGTGGGAGACGCAGAAGCAAGGCCTCCGAACTTGGAAGGGAAGCTGGGAGTCCTTGGAAGGGAAGCAGTGAGGAATTCCTTACAAAAGTAGTTACCCAAAAGATAAAGAAAAGCCTCGCCAAGTGTTGGGAAAACCTTGGAGGGTATGGTGGAACGGGGCCTGCAGGCCAGTGCTGGCCCATTCGACACATGGCACACAAATTTGTAGCATCACAAAGTTTTACAAATTCTGGGTAGCTCTGCATAGACATGAATGTCATTCCCGTTTGCTTTATTAGGCTGGCAACCTAATTTCTTTTTAAAGTGGATTTTGTTGTGACTAGTTATTTCTCGTTGATTCTTGATGGCTTTAGGTATTATATTCTCAAATGGCCACACCTGGAAGCAGCAGAGGAAGTTTGGGCTAGTCACCATGAGGAAGCTGGGACTGGGAAAGAAAGGCATGGAGCACCAAATACATGAGGAGGCCCATCAGCTTATTGAGACTTTTGCACATGCAAAAGGTATGCAGTACTAGGAGATTCTGTGGGCACATGTTACATCACAAAGTCACAGACCAAAAGAGAGGCTGTGGGACATTTCTGTGTTTCCTTGGATGTGTTTGAAAAGAGGCTGTGTAATGATTTCATGTTTTGGTGTGTGTGTGTGTTTCTTTAAATGTTTCGTTTGACTGCAGCAATGTAAGGAGAGTGATAGAGGGAGATGATTGTGAGGTGACTGGCTGATGACTGAGAGAGTGGGAGAAGGGGTGCCTCTGAAGTGATTCTGGGTTTTGGAGAGATGAGTGTGGGGAGTTTAGTTTTTTAGCTTGTATGGCAGAAGAAGCCGTTTGAGTCTATCTGGTGTGGCTAAGAAAAGCCATTTAGCCTGTGTGGCTAAGAGAGACAGAGTTTAGCCTATGTGGCTAAGGCTGTCAGAGTTGAATTTTGGTGTTTTGAGAGACCGTGTGTGACGCTCAGCTTTATCAGTTATATTTATAAGTTCTTTTCTTTTATAAATAAATCAATATTTGTTTAAACTTATCCCAGCAATCAGAATAGTCCTTCCTCAGGGCCACATAGTCCTCTGAAGTGCCCAGACCCTGGGTCATTCTACCAAAATAGACAGATTTGGAATCTTTAATTCCTGGTGGCAGCAGAAATCTACTAAATTCATGTACACAGAATGTGTTTTAAAGGAGACGTCACAGGCTGTTAAAAACAAAACAAAAAACACCATCTATTCTCATCATTCTTGAGGAATGGTTGTCTTCCCCATTATCATGGTGCAAATACTTGGATCCTGTAACAGAACCAGCTCAGCATAGTGCCATCAATAGTAAAAGGGACCACAGTGAACAGTGAGAGTAAAAAAATATACACTGCCGTGCCAAAGAAATATATTTTAAACAATATATTCTTATTATTTCATCAGTGTATTTTAATTGTCCAACAGTAATATTACAATTCACACATAAGCCACAATGAGCATATCAACACCAACAGGTGTAAATCCTCACACAAAAAGTCAACTACGGTAGAGTCTTTCTTGCAGAAGATGAAAGTGGTCAGATGAAAGCAGTCAAGCAGTCAAGTTGCTACTCTGGACTAAAAAGCGGTTTCAATCAGACTTTGTCGGGACCGCACATCAATTGCATTGACTTGAAGGCACTTTAGGCACACATGAATTGTAATATTATTGGATAATTTAAAAACACTGTTGAAATAGTAAGAATATATTCTAAGAAAATAGATGTTTTTGGCATGGTGCAGCATAGCATCATCAGCTTAGAAACAGACACTTTAGCATTTTTTGCTGGTTATTTCGCTGGTATTTTACCTGTTATTTTGCTGGTATTTTACCTGTTATTTTGCTGTCAGATGCTATTGTTCTTCCTTTCTTTCGTTCTGCATCAATTGCAACATAAAACCTGGTCGGAAAAACAAGGTATGATCCATAAAATAACAGTTAGAAGGTATAACATTCAGTTACGTCAAAAGTCCCCAAAAGTCCACGCAAATGTCAAGTCCATGTGAATGTGGATAATTTTATTTTCAGGGCAACCCTTCAACCCTTCAATGGCTATCAGAAATGCTGTCTCCAATGTGATCTGTGCTGTGGCTTTTGGACACCGCTTTTCTATAGAAGATAAAGACTTTCTCAGTTTGATGGAAAGCATTGAAGTGATATTAGGATTTACAACAAGCATCCCGCATGGTGTGAGTAGTCTTCTTCATCTTTCTAATTGAGTGAGCCCGGTCTTTGAGGGCCTTAAAAAAAGAATCTTTGATGTCTGCAATGAAGGGATAAAGTGCTGTGTCAGGCAGGAAGTGTGTGCCTTGATCCTTTCCATTCCTTTCCTTTTTCTGCTGCAAATGTTCCTCCAAATTGCCTGCCCACCAGAGGGGAAAAAAGATGTGTGTCAGGAGGGGAGCAGCCTTCAGCCCCTCCTGCCCCACTCTCCCTTCAACCAAATAGAAGAGGACCAGGGCGTCACAACCATGGAGGAGCAGAAGCACCAACCACGGCCAAAGGTGTCCATCCAGAGGATTGGGCCCGGGGCCTGAGCCCAGGAAAGGACCTCCGAGGGTCCCATGTTCCAGAGACAGCCCAAAGCAAAAATCCTCAGAGGGTTCCCTGGCGGCCCTGGTCTCCTTCCCCCTAGGCCAGCCTGCAGAACCCCGACAGCCAAAGGGGGCCATGGAGGAGGACCCAGGAGTCACCCCCAACAACAATGGCCGGATCGAGAAGAGGCCGGCTGGGAGCACACTGATGGGAATGGGGAACGGGCCAATCCCATGGCCACCCTCCTCTGAAGCGGGTAAGACAGGGTGGAAACAGGGAAGGGGAGAGAGTTTAAAAAGGAGAGAGAATGCGGACCGAGGAGGGTGACACCTGGTGCTTATGAGGAATGAGAGGCGGCGTGGGGAGAGGAGGGATGGAGTGCCTGTCCATAAGAGAGAGAGAGACGGGGAAACCCAAGGGACTGCGTCCCCAAAATCCATCCGCGGGCTCGGAAATAAGCGCCAGGTAGGGGGTGGGATGGTGAGAACCAGTCCCTGCACCCGGGGTCTGAGGTCGAGTGGCAAGTCCTCCACCAAATCTCCTGCCCTGGAAACGACCCGTCATCCCCCTTCACCTCGGAACACTGGCAGATGTGACAACATGTATTTCCATATCTTTTCACCTGGGGGAGAGAAGCAGAAAAAGAGCAGAAGGGAAAAGGATGAAGCAGCCTTTGGCCCACCTCCCTCCTGTACCTTTGCTGAAAATGGTACATGCTTTCCATAAAAATAGGAGTACATCAAGAACCTTTTCGTGTGTCTTCCACATACAATTTAACATGCTCCTGAGACTCACCTTTCACCCCATGAGGGTATAAATAACATGCTGGCCCTCTAGTAAAATCTTAACTGCTGACGTCTTGTCCAGGGATGGATACGAACCGAACCACAAAGCAAAATTCATCACGAATTTTGCCCTGTGCAAGGTTCGTGAACAGACATTCGTGACAGGTCTACTGTCACAAACTTCCACCAACTTTTAAAGCAGTTCATGGCGATTCGTGGATGGAGCAGAAAGCAGGAGTCCCTTTAAAGCCCTGCTTTCTGTTCCCTGCTAAACCTACAAAACAGCTGAGTGGCAGGGAGGCACTCCCCGCCACTCAGCTGTTTCAGTCTGTCTTGTGCAGTGCCTGTCTTGTTCAGGGACTGCAGAAAATAGCCTGGAAAACAGCTGTGCGGCAGGGAGGTGCTCCCCACTGTGAAGCTGTTTTGGGCTGTCTTGTGCAGTCCCTTTAAACTATAAAGGGACTGCAGAAGAGAGCCCGAAACAGCTGAGTGGTGGGGAGCAAGCTGCTCTCCACTCCACAGCGGTTTTTCAGGCTTTCTGCAAACCCCGTTGAAAGGGACTGCTGTCCCTTTCTACGGGGTTTGTGGGCCCACGAACCATGAACTAGTTTGGTTTGCAGACAAATGTCCTGGTTCGGTTTGGTTCATGGTTTGGCTTGTGGCCAAACCACATTTTCCCTGTTCATGCCCATCCCTAGTGTGGACCAAAAAGTGGGGCTATGACTCCATAACAGAGCATCTGATTTACATGCATAATGTCCCAAGCTCAATCCCTGGAACCTCCAGTTAAAAGGACCAGGTGATAAGTGGTGTTAAAGACCTCTGCCGGATAGCCTTACCAGTGAACACATGAAGCTGCTTATACTGAATGACACCATCAGTCCATCAAGGTCAGTATCATTTTTTCAGACTGTCAGTGGCTCTCAGGTATCTCAGGCAGAGGTCTTTCATGTCACCTACCACATGACCCTTTGGAGATGCCAAGGATTGAACTTGAACCTTCTGCAAGCCCAACAGATTCCCTGCCTCTGAGCCATGGCCCCTCCCTCAGAGTAGAGAATGCTGACCTTGCTAGATCAGTGGCCTGACTCAGCATAAAAGCCAGCTTCATGTGTTTAGAAGTTGGTTTATTAACTACATCGTTCAGCTTCCTCATGATAGAAGATGTTGGGTTTTTCGCCCTCTCTCCTTTTTCATAGTTTTATGAAATTCTTCCATGGCTTGTCAAACATCTCCCAGGTCCTCAGAAGAAAACATTTTTGTGCTTAGAGCATGTGCTTTTATTTGCAAAGAAGGAGATCGACAAGCATAAGGAGCACCAGGCCATGCACGAGCCACAGGATTTGATTGATTTTTATCTGCTTCAGATGGAAAAGGTAAGTGCTCACTTTGTGTACAAAATTAGACACCCTCAACAAAAAGGAGAATGTTGGTATCAGTTCTACTTGTAGTCTTCGAAGCATCCATCAGTACTTCGCACACAAGCTTTGGATCATCAATTAACTATGCTGATCATTAATAGAGGGCAGGCTAGCCGTGGCTGCCTTTGGTCTAGCAAATCCACCCTGACTCCAAACTCAGCCAGTGTCAGGCTCCCAGTCATAGAATCATAGAATGTTAGAGTTGGAAGGGACCTTAAAGGTCATCTAGTCCAACCCCCTGCACTCTGCAGGAGAATAGCTGAAAGATAGCCCTACAACATACCCAAAGGATGGTCGTCCAGCCTCCGCTTGAAAACATCCAGCGAAGGAGCATCCACCACCTCCCGAGGCAGACTCACTGCTCAGTCAAATCACTCTCTACACATACTTTCTTCAGTGAATGTTTTATTTAGAGATATGAGGTGCTGTGGGTTCAAACGCTTTGTTAGGACTGATTTGCAAGGCGGGAAACACAAGGTATAGTTACAACCCCAAATTCCACCCATTCAACGTCAGCATTACTACGGTGGTTCTGAAAGATATACAACCACTATCTAGCCAGGCACAGACTTTCCTCCAGGGACATTTCTCGTGAGAACAATGTCTTTGGGGCCTCTTCGGAAGATTATTAAGCAGCCTCCCTACTCCTACACATGCACGGACTTCCCCCTCAGGAATGTAATGGCAGGTTAGGTCAACGATAAGAAAATGCAAGCAGACAGAAGCAGGTAAATCATGGGGAAAGGTTACAAGTTACAGGTTATGCAGGTTTTAAGCATGATACATCATCAGGTGCCAACTATTTGCCCGTTATCAAAGGCCCGAGTCTGACAGCCAGTGGCTACCATCAGTCTTGTTTATCCCCTCACACTTAATGTGCTGAGAGGTGCCAAGCCCCAACCACCTCCCTTGATATGCCGTAAAGCCACTGCCAGGTTCAGCAAAATGTTGCTCAAAACCTCTTGGATTCTCTGGTTTGGTACAGCCAGGAAACTTTACTTTGGCTGCGATCATACGGAGCGGAAGCTGCGGCAGGCAAACGATTCCCCCACGGATTAAAAGGATGCGATCAGACAGATACATTTGTCTGGCATCCCGGAGTCGTTGGTGGGGCGTCTCGTTGCACCACAGGCACGGTGCAAAAAACCACCAGAGAAACATCAGTAGCATAGGGAACTGCGGGGCGGGCGGGCGGAAGTCTGATCGCGTTAACGCACGCCAGTTCGCCCCGGGGCAAACAGCCTCGCTTCCCGCCCGCAGTTCCTTGGTGGTATGATCGAAGTCTTTAAGTAGCAGAGGGCTTAAAGCTAACCATGCAGCAAGGCACTGGTGCTGAGTGCGCTAGCAAACTTACAAAGCTGCACAGGGTCCTTTGATCTATTTCAAACTAATAAGAAATATCAATTAAAGGGACTGATAGATTGCCTATTCTAGCTACCTGGATGTCGCTGGCTGCTCGACGCATGTCCAGCCTCCATGGTGCAAGATGGAGAAAGAAACCTTCTCTGAGTGTGAGTGAGAGGAAGTGTGACTGTAGCAGAAAAGAAATTGCTCCCTAAGAAGTATCAGTCTACCCATCAAAGTGAAGATGGGGGGCCAGGTAGGATTTTTTTGCCTCTCTTCTGATTGGCTGCTGAAAAGAGGGTTTTTTTTGCCTACCCTGTACTGCGGTTAGAGGATTTTGGAATTGGCAGGGGTGGTGCCGTATGATAAGTTTGTCATTTTACAGTTGGGGCAGTGTTATGTCTTTGGGGGGAGTTTATGCAGCTTGGTAAGCACCAATGAGGAGCTGCGGTGGCTCAGTTTTTAAGATGCTGAACTGCAGGCTGGAAGGTCGGCAGTTCAGCAGTTTGAGACCCAAGTGCCGCATGATGGACTGAGTTCCCATCTCTGGTTTCAGCTCCTGCCAACCGAGCAGTTCGAAAGCAATAAACTGCAAGTAGATAAATAGGTACCGCTTCTGTGGGAAGGCAACAGCGCTTCGTGCGCCTCGGCGTCTAGTCATGCTGGCCACGTGACCATGGAAACATCTTTGGACAGCGCTGGCTCTTCAGCTTGGAAACGGAGATGAGCACCGCAACCTTAGAGTCGGATTTGAGTGGTTTTCGAACAAGGGAAACCTTTACTAAGCACCAGGGCTTTTTTTGTAGAAAAAGCCCAGCAGGAACTCATTAGCATAATAGGCCACACCCAATAGCTGGAACTCATTAGCGTATTAGGCCACACCCCTGACAGCACAACTCATTAGCATATTAGGCCACACCCCCATGTTACCAGAAGTGTGGTCATCCAGCCACACCCACCTTTCGCTTGTTATTCTGTTTACCTTGTTTGTTGTCAAAACCCAGGGCCTTTTTGTAGCAGGAACTCCTTTGCATGTTAGGCCACACACCCCTAATTGTAGCCAATCCTGATGCGTTTCAGCTGTTGGGTGTGGCCTATTATGCTAATGAGTTCCTGCTGGGTGTGGCCAACTCAGGAGCCAGCCGGAACTCCGTTCCTGTGCGTTCCTGCCCCAAAATAGCCCTGCTATGCACCAATGAGCAACCCTGTGGGGGTGTAGGGGTCTGACGGAATCATCCCTGTGGCTGTGTGGCCAAGGATGGGGATGGCAGATTGCCTTTGAGATTGCCGGGACAGATCTTCTGCACAGGCTGTGTGGTTGCGTTGGAGGTATCTTCACGGCATATCCCATTGCTGTGCCGGCCGGGTGCAAGCCACATACAGTTGCCATTGTATGGCAAGGATGGGGCTCTGGGGACCCCAGGCCTTGACCGTGCCACTGTTGTAGTCTTTACCCTTTGCCGTTATGATGTTTAAGTTAAATAAAGTGGCCCTTCGTTTCCCAACCTGTGGTTGTCTGACTCTTTCTTCCATCTGCGGGGGGAGGAGCAAAGGCACACTTTGGCTGTGATCATACACACCATTAGACTGGACATAGGCGCGAATGCTAGGTGGATTTAAAGGAAGCGATCAGACAGAAACATCTGGGAAGAATCCTGCAGCCGTTCGCAACCCATGCCGCTCTGCCGCAGAGACCGGGGGAAATCTGGTACTAAATGGGTTGCTACAGGCCATGGGCGGACTTTCCCCTGTCTGGTCACTCAAGCGCACTCTCACGCCATTGGGAAGGTCTGATCAGGCCATCCCGACCCCGTGCCATTGTATGCACATCATCGCAAACTCCATAGGGAGCCCTCAGTGTGGAGGTGCGATTCCTCGTTTATGTGCAAGGGAAACAAACAGCAAAAAAAGGGAGAGAGACTCACCCGCAGTTGCGTCTGATCACAACCTTACGGGCTGCACCTGCAGCTTCAAAGTGAGGTGTAATTTCACAACTGTGTGTCAAATTCCTCTGAAGGAAATAGCCTGACATCCCCTCCAGCTCAACTGGCACATGTGACGGCAACCTTTGGCTTTCTGCTTCATATTCTACTGGAAGGTTAAGTTATTATAGGTCCCTGCCACACGAGGGAAAAAAGGACGGGCAAAGTGCAGCTTTTAAAAGCCGCACCAAAATAGGCACGCGGCGGTGGGATCATACAGCTCACGTGAGCTGCCGTGCAATTGCTCCCCGGCACGATCAGATGCCGGGGAGACCGGGGAGAAAGCCACGGGAGGCTGCCGAACTGCGCATGTCTGAGCATGTGCAGTTCAGCCAGGAGCCGGGGATGCGCTGGTGGAAGAATGCGCCGGCGATCCCACGGCCGGCTTTGATGCGGCCGTTCGGAAAGAACCACCTCAGTAGGTGGTTCTTTTTTGCTGCGGGTTATCGTAGGAAGGGCCGGATCGGGGACGGGCGCGCAACACTTCCCAGATGTTGCGGTGGGATCGCACCCATTTGCTCCGCCCCCAATCCATCCCTCTCCTGGCCCAAATCCTCTCGTGTGACCGGGGCCTTAATTTAACTACACACTGAACTCTCAGTAATGCATTGCTGCCTTTTTTCTCATCTCTAACCAAAATATTATTCAATAGAGCTCGGGTAGTCATCTTAATCTGCTGTAGAGAAAATCATGAGTTCTTGAGTGCTTTACCCTGTGACATTAGAGGAGGTGGTCATAATGCCAAAGTGTTTAGAATTCATTTAAGACTCTATTTCCCTTCCTGTATTTGTCCGCACCAGAGCAAGAGGGACCCCAACTCTACATACACTGAAGACAACCTCTCCCAGGACATATTTGACCTCTTTATCGCAGGTTCTGACACAACTGCATCGACTCTACAATGGGCTCTGCTCCTCATGGTGAATCATCCCGATATCCAAGGTGAGAAAGTCTTGTGGAATGCGATCAAAGTTGAACACATGAAACTGCCTTATACTGAATTAGACCCCTGGTCCATGAAGGTCAAAATTGTCTACTCAGACTGGCAGCTGCTCTCCAGGGTCTCAGGCTGAGGTCTTCCACATCACCTCCTTGTTGCTCCTTTTAACTGGAGATGATGGGGATTGGCCCCACTGGTGGACCTCCTGATGGCACCTGGTATTTCTGGCCATTGTGTGAAGAAGAAGAAGAGATTGGATTTATACCCCGCCCTTCACTACCCAAAGGTGTCTCAGAGTGGCTTACAAACTCCTTTCCCTTCCCCTCCCCACAACAGACACCCTGTCAGGCAGGTGGGGCTGAGAGAACTCTTGACAGAAACTGCCCTTTTTCAAGAACAGCTGTGCCAGAGTTATGGCTTGCCCAAGGTGCAAGTGGAGGAGTGGGGAATCAAACCCAGTTCTCCCAGATTAGAGTCTGCGCACTTAACCACTACACCAAACTGGCTCTCACAGAGTGTTGGACTGGGATGGGCCTTTGGCCTGTTCCAACATCGGCGTCTCTTATGTTCTTATGTAACCTGGGACCTTCTGCATGTCGATGCTCTACCACTGAGCCCAGAAATATATGGCAATAAGCTCAGGGGAACAGTTTGGAGAGCCAGTTTGGTGTAGTGGTTAGAGTCCAGGACTAAGGAATTCCCCTGAAAGTTCAACCCTTTGTCCCATGCAGTTTTCTTGACTTAAAAATCTTGTACAAACTTGCTGTAGAAAAAGTAACACGCACCCAGATTGTGCCAATCTTTTCCTCTGTCAGAGTTGCGTTAGCTGCTGTGAGGGGAGTTCCGATCACTGTGAGGTGAGTTCCTATCACAGAAGCAACAAGGGGAACAAACTATAATCTCTATGTTGATCGTGGAATCCCCTTAAGTATTATAGAATCTTGGGTGTTCCTGCCATGGACCTCGCATATCACATACAGTGTGGTCATCAGTTTTGCTCTTGAACATGTGGGTGGATGCTCTCTTCATATCAAGAAGAGAAACCTTGCACAACTGAGAGTTTGCACATGAAATTATTGAACTTCCAGATTTCTTTTTCCGTCAGGTATTGAAGAGAATAAACAGGAGTGTTGTGGCACCTTAAGTACTAACATGTTTTTCTTTGGAAGCTCAAGTAGGCTCTTTGGGGAGAAATCCACAAAAGCCTGATTGAAAAGAAAGTATTCAAGGTGCCACAAGACTCCAGTCAATTCTGTAAAAGAGAGAGGGGCGTACTTACAGCCAGTTTGGTGTAGTGGTTAAGTGTGCGGACTCTAATCTGGGAGAACCGGGTTTGATTCCCCACTCCTCCACTTGCACCTGCTGGATGACCCTGGGCAAGCCATTGTTCTGGCAGAGCTGTTCTTGCAAAAGAGCAGTTTCTGTCAGAGCTCTCTCAGTCCCACCTACCTCACAGGGTGTCTGTTGTGGGGAGGTGAAGGGAAAGGAGTTTGTAAGCCACTCTGACACTTCTTTGGGTAATGAAGGGTGGGGTATAAATCCAATCTCCTCCTCCTCCTTCTCCACTTCTTCTTCTTCTTTTTCTTCAAGATAGGAGGGTTAATTTCCCTAGGAGCCTATAAAGTATAAGCTAGAACCATTAGGTACCATGTGGCAGAGTCACAGCTGTGTTAGTTCTGAAATAGGCCAGAATGTGCTTATTTTCTATGAAAAGGAAAATGTTCATCTTGGCTTCATAATTCTGAATCTAAAGGGGAAAAACTGGTTTTGTTCACTGTTAACACTTGAAATTATATATACAACAACTATATAGTAAGCACCTGGTTATTTTAGTGTTGTTGTTGTTGTTTTTTTAAAAAAACCTAGCGATACCCAATTTGTAAAACTCCCGCACTACTAAAGATTCTCTTTCAGAAGACTTCTAAAGACTGTAGAAAGAAAAAGATAACGTAGTAGAACAGGTAACCAAAGATTTCTTTATTGCAGGTAAAGACAAAACCGTAGGATTATTATTCTGCCAAACTACGATTCTATATTGTTTATTGGAGGTCTTTGGTATCTGATTGAATTGCTTCTCATATTTTGTGATCTGCCTTCAGTCTTTGTGAGAAAGGTTGGCTATAGATGATGATGATGATGATAGACAAGTATTTCAAACATGTTGGGGAAATTGGCAAAATAGTTAAATATTCAGAGATTACAATGGATCTTTGCTTCACTGGAGAGAAGGCGTTTTCTTCTATGTGGAAATCTTTATTTCCAAGGGGAAGGGTTCACAGGAAATCTACAAAACAACAAAGACACCTAAGGACTACATCTTTACAGTTTGACCACACAGTCTACAACAATGGAGATGCTTCTTCTTCTTGACCCCTAGAGGGAAATCACCTGAATACATTAACCAATGATTGTGAGTAAACAGACTTCAATTTCGTGGGCTTTGTTCCCATGGGCTCTGTGCCAGGTTTCCTTCCAGGTCAGTCTAAACAATAGCACACAAGGTAAAGCAGATTAACCCTATAATGACCGACTTTTATACCTTTCAACACACATATTCCCAACAAAACATTCACTCAGGAAGTGGAGATGCGGTAAAGTGATACAGAGATGGGCGAAAGAAAAGCTCATGGTTACTTGTCTGACTACTGTCTAGGCAAAAAGATCTGAGCATCAGATGAGGGCTCCTACACTGCTGGGCATCCAATAATCCAAAAGGGAATTTTCAAAGCTGCTTAAACTGGAGTAAGAAAAAAGCGGCCAAAGCAAATCCCAGAGAAAAGGTAGGAAAAACAGGAAGGCAGTTTTGGGGGCATCTTTTATGAAATAAGCCAGATATTTTTTTTTTACATGAAATAAATGCTTCACAAAGATTGTGTCACTTTCCTCAGATACATGTAACGCCTAATGCAGGTTCCTTTTCCATAATTTTCCCCCAGAGAAAGTCCATAAGGAACTGGAAAATGTTCTGGGTTCATCTCAATCATTCAGTTATCAAGATCTAAAGAAACTGCCCTACACCAACGCTGTAATTCACGAGATCCAACGACTGCAATATGTCTTATTATATGGGCTGCCCAGAGAATGTGTGAAGGATGCGAACATACTTGGCTTTCCCATTCTAAAGGTATCCAAAATTGTCATACCTGCAGCCATAGAACCACAAAGCAGTATTTATTAGGCATAGTTTTTAAAAGACATACTTGCATAGAAGCCTCCTATGTTGATTTTCTGGAAGTATAAGAAGCTTGCCCACCTTTCCCCCAAATTATACCCTATGACATTGGGATTATTGTATTATCTCCCCAAAGCAGTTTGACCCATCTATGCTGAACAGTCTGTGTTGTGCTGTTTTCAGTTATCACATGGTGTCCAGCATCCCCACCCACAAAAATTTAATATATAGCTCTCAAGCACCTATTAATAATAGATCAGGAGAAACACTCGAAATATTCCTTCTCTTTACTGAGATCTTCTGATTTCACAAATGAATACAATTTATATACTTGACTCCAGAAGAAAGATTTGAGATGAACAAAGGAATTATGTTTGGTGTAGTGGTTAGGAGCGCGGACTCTAATCTGGGAGAACTGGGTTTGATTCCCCACTCCTCCACATGCAGCTTGCTGGTATGACCTTGGGTCAGTCATGAGTTCTTTCAGAGATGTTCTCTCAAAGGCAGTTCTCAAAAGAATTCTCTCAGCCCACCTACCTCACAGGCTATCTTTTGTGGGGAGGGGATGGGAAAGGAGATTGTAAGCCACTCTGAGACTTCTTTGGGTAGTGAAGGGTGGGGTATAAATCCAATCTCCTCCTCCTCCTCCAACGGAAAATGATATCAACTTCCAGGAGTCCATTAATTCGATCTTCTCGTAATTCTTCTCCACATATAAGGTAAAGGTAAAGGTATCCCTTGCTCAGAAGCCAGTCGAATCCAACTCAAGGGGGCAGTGCTCATCTCAGTTTCCAAGCCGAAGAGCCGGCACTGTCCAAAGATGTCTCCAAGGTCATGTGGCCGGCATGACTAGAGGCCAAGGTGCACGGAACGCTGTTACCTTCCCACTAAAGCGGTACCTATTTATCTACTTGCAATTTCTTGCTTTCGAACTGCTAGGTTGGCAGGAGCTGGGACCAGAGATGGCCGCTCACTCCGTCACGTGGCACTTGGGTCTCAAACTGCCCAACTACCGACCTTCCGGTCTGCAGTTCAGCATTTTAACCAATTGAGCCACCACAGCCCCTTCTCCACATATACTCTTTTCATTTTTTCATTTTTTGCAAACTGCATCAGTTTCATCAGGGTTTTTATTTTTTACTGGCTTTTATTTACCAGCATACAAATTCAGCCTATAAAAAAAAAAAATCTGAGTCCTAAGGATGAGGCATGGATATATGAGAAAGGGCAAAGAGGTGCACTGGGATAGTGAGGGACAAAAAAAATGCAATATGCTGTTCTGGATATCTGTTGAGATGACTAGTTCTTCCTTTCAGGGCACCGCGATTCTTCCAGATCTTTGTTCTGTTCTTCTTGATCCTAAGCAATGGGAGACTCCTGAAGAGTTGAACCCAAATCATTTTTTGGACAAGGATGGAAATTTTGTGCCTAGAGAAGAATTTCTGCCTTTTGGCGCTGGTAAGTGGAGAACTCTAAAGTAGCTTATGATTGATGGTTTTGTTAACAAAGGAATTGTAGTTTACGAAATGATTGTAGTTTTCAGATTGTAGTTTAAGGTAAAGGTAAAGGTTCCCTTTACCCTTCCCACTGAAGTGGTACCTATTTATCTACTTGCAATTTCTTGCTTTACAACTGCTAGGTTGGCAGGAGCTGGAACCAGAGACGGGAGCTTACTCCGTCATGCGGCACACTCGGGTCTCAGACTGCTGAACTACCAACCTTCCACAGCCTGCAGTTCAGCGTCTTAACCACTTGAGCCACCGCAGCTCCTAGATTGTAGTTTAGGAAATGATTATTCAACCTGAGTCATTGAACTGCT